GAAACCTAATGTGTTTTTCTTTTTTTTCTTTTATTAATTTTCTTTTCCTTTGTTTTAAAACCAAACCAACCCAATAAAAGCCCAACATAACCAAGCCCAAGAGAAAAAGAAACCCATCCCAACTTAAAATAAAACCAATCACGTGGAACTCGATATATATAAATTTAATTAAAGTTTAATTTAAAATTAAATGAAAATCTCCTGATTCGAGACTAACTAACCTGAGGGACTCGGGGCGTTACACACACTATGTTGGGGAATCGCACCACGCGCAATTCCTTACTTTTATTGGGATTCGAGTTCCACTCTTTCACTACCGCTTTTGGTTTCTGTAGAGGCTAGGGTAACATACAATCATATGCCTATGTGTCATTACAATCCTAGAGAATATCTACCAACTCACTTGCATTATGGGTCGGAGGGCCTATGTCTTGGACCATGTTTTATGCTCTTATGCCTAAGTCACATCCCATTTTGGTTTTCTATTATTTTACCTAACTCACCTTTCCCAAGGTTGGGTTTTGGTGTATAAATCAATTTCCCACCGGCCGAATGGAAAAAAGATGTCAAGAGAAGTTTTTAGAAACCAATCCAAAAAAGTGTCAGGTGCAATCTGGCCAAAATCCTGATCATGTCGAAAATCAAATCATTTTGACGGATACTTAGGCTATAACCAGATCATGATTCCACTGAAGGGCCAGGAGAAAACAACTTTCACATGCCCTTATAGAACATTCTCATTCCGTCGAATGTCGTACGGTTTGTGTAACGCACCTACTACGTTCCAGCGGTGTATGATGGCAATTTTTTCTAACATTATTGAAAATGTGATTGAAATTTTTATGGATGACTTTTCGGTATTTGGGGAGTCTTTTGAGAATTGTCTTAAAAATCTTGAAAAAGTTTTGGAGAGATGTGAAAAAACAAACCTTGTTTTAAATTGGGAGAAATGTTATTTCATGGTAAAAGAAGGTATTGTTTTGGGTCACAAAATTTCAAACAAAGGAATGGAAGTAGATCGAGCTAAAATTGAGTTAATTTCAAAACTTCCACCACCCTCGTCAGTTAAAGGTATTCGAAGTTTTTTCGGCCATGCTGGATTTTATCATCGTTTTATCAAAGACTTTGTTAAAATATCAAAACCTTTATGCCGTATTTTTGAAATTGAGAGGCCATTTGAATTTGATGAAGAATGCATGAATTCATTTGAGACTCTTAGGAAGGTATTAAGTTCAGCACCTATCATAGTAGAACATGACTGAAATATACCATTTGAGGTAATGTGTGACGTGAGTGACTTTGCATTAGGAGCCATGTTAGGGTAGAGAAAAAAATAAAATTTTGCATCTAGTTTACTATGCCAGTAAGACTTTAGCTGCAACACAGCTTAACTATACTACCACAGAGAAAGAACTGTTAGTTGTTGTGTTTGCCTTTGAAAAATTTAGATCATATTTGATAGGTTATAAAGTTATTGTTTTTACTGATCATTCTGCTTTGAAGTATTTGTTTGCTAAGAAAGACACGAAGCCAAGGTTGATTCGGTGGATTTTACTTCTTCAAGAATTCGACTTAGAGATTCGAGATATGGAAGGTACAGAGAAACAGGTGGCAGACCATTTGTCTCGATTGGAATCCACTGACCTAAACACCCATCAGCAATCAAGGAATACTTCATCGATGAGCACATCCTTTGTATTGATAACATCCCATGGTGTGCAGATATTGCTAACTTTTTGGTAAGTCACATATTTCCTTATGAGTTTAACTCACAACAGTTAAAAAAATTTTTACATGATGCTAAGCATTATAGGTGGGATTAGCCGTATCTTTACAAGTTAGGTCCTGATAATATCTTACGCAGGTTGTAGCTGACAAGGAACAAGCAAAAATCCTGGAAGCATGCCATACATCCTCGTATGGTGCGAACTTTGTTGGTCGAAAAACTGCAACAAAGGTATTACAGAGTGGGTTCTTTTGGCCCATCTTATTTTGAGATGTCCACCAGTTTGTCATGTATGTGATAAGTGTCAACGGGTAGGTAATATTTTCGAAAAAAATGAAATGCCTCTAAACCCCATTTTAGAAGTAGAAATTTTCGACGTATGGGCCATTGACTTTATGGGATCGTTCCCAGCATCGTTTGGTAAAATTTACATTTTGTTAGCCATCGACTATGTGTCTAAATGCATAGAAGCCATAGCAACTTCAGTAAATGATGCTATAATTGTTATTCAATTTCTGCAAAAAAATATTTTTACTCGCTATGGTACTCCAAGATGTCTAATTAGTGACGAGGGAACGTATTTTGTAAATGGGGCGGTAGGTAAGGTGTCAGCAAAATATAATGTCCAACATAAGACTACTGCTGCGTACCACCCACCAACAAATGCTATGGTTGAAGTTTCTAATAGGAAAATTAAATCTATCCTAGAAAAAATGGTCAATACAAATAGGAAAGATTGAGCGATTAAATTAGATGATTCCCTATGGGCATATCAGACTGCTTTCAAGACCCCTTTTGGTACGTCTCCTTTTCGTTTAGTATTCGGTAAGGCTTGTCATTTTCGTGTAGAATTAGAATATAAAGCATATTCGGCCACTAAAAAACTAAATTTTTACTTTAACGTTGTAGGTGAAGAATCTCATTATGAAATTATTATCTATTATACATTTGGGGTGGGCCAACTCTTCATTGGGGTCTCGTATAACACCTACCACCGGACACAGAGCTGTGATCAGAACCCGTGACCAAGAATGCCTTTGGTGGCACCTCATCCGAATGTGGCGTATGGAATGGAAAATAAATGTGCCTACATCGATCGTTTTTCTTGGACATAAAGAAGGATCGCCCTCTCCTTAGTAATATTACTCATGTGGGCCACAAGCAATAATTTAGCACAAATAAAACATCGTTACACTCTGTTGGTTTAATAGTTTCTCCTCTTCTCATGGTTCACTTGACGCCGGGCACACATAGCTCGTAAAAAACATGGTAAATTTCTAACTACTCACTAGCATAGATGTTATATTCATTCCACTAAAACCCGCACAACTGATAAAGTTGATTTATGGTGGGATCAGAAGGGACTCGATGGCCGCGAATATATGACGTCGATCCCCCTTTACAATATTGGCGTAAAATTCACGCACAATATTGCTCCACAGATATAAATCGGCGGCCGCTTTTGAAATAAAAATAATATGGATCAAAGTTTTCATAGAATTCATCTACAAAATTTACTCTTTTCAAGTTCAATATTTCTTTGTCGAAGGACATCCACTTGTGTTGGTAGAGAGACATAAACGTAGTTGATTTGAAATTATGCAAATACGCAATTTCTTGAATAACTCATGAAAACCGTACAACAACAGGGTATATTCACAACAAAAAACAAGACAAATAAATCAATTATATTCCCACAAAATTAAAGAGAAACGCATCAAGATTAGGTAGGAAATACAAAATCAAGAAAGCATGATATTATGAAAAGCATTTTCGACAATTAAAGCACAGCATCAACAACATAAATAGAGGAAGTATGATGAAAATAATGAATAGAATTATAATGAAATGACAAACAAATATATATAATTGAACAAAAATACAGTAAAGGGAAATAATAAACTAAACCCATAAATATCCAACAAAAATAATGCAAAGAATAATAAATCCCAATTTGTTTATCCGAACTCAAACCGTCAAAAAAAATTTTAAAAAGAAACAGAGATTGACGGAACGAGGCTATAAACATATGATTGCAGATTGTAGAAAAGAAATTAGAATGCAATCAGAAGCAACAAATGGAGGGAGTGTTAAAATAATGAATCACCTCAAGTAGGGGTGAGCATCGGTGTCGGTCGGGTCAGTTTTTTGTCAAAACCGACCTAGTCGGTTTCCATTACTAGAAACCGACTATCTCTACTGTTCTTGCCAAAAAAAATGATCGGTAATCACAATAAATTCCTGAGAACACTCCTCGATAAAAATCTGCAAAAACAAATTAGCACTCTCACGATCTAGTTAGTCTCTGTGCCAGAAAAATAATAGGAAAAATATCAATCAGTTTTTGCGTGCCGTCTTCATTTAACCATGTGGTATTTATAGATGAGTTGTGGAAAAATAACCATTGGGGAGTTTGGCTCCTTATTTGAATTATACAGTTTCCACTCCATGAAAATAGGAAAACGGCATGTTGAGTAGGGGAGCGGTTTGGTTGTCGTGGCGAAAATGGGGGAGTTACCGTTGAGTTACCATTTGACTTGACATCTAGCTCGGTTAAGTATTTAGCTCAGTCAATTTTCGACTTTGTGTACCTTGGATTGAAATCGAGTGATGTGTCCCTTGGAAATTGACGGTTAAACATCTAGATACTTGCTAAAGCCGACCAACCAACATGTCAAGTCCGTCGGTCATTGGTTTGTATTTGTGTTTTTTTTCTTAAAATATATATATATTTTTTTGTTGGTTTCCACGAAGTGATGAGCACACGAATTAATGAAAAGCTTACATGGTTACTGTGCACGAATGATAACGGTAGAGGAAGGGCTGTAGTGCTGATATGGTGCATGAACAAAAAGGAACAAAATAAAGAAGAGAGAAGAAAGAAAATTAATAAACGAAGATGAATAAAATAAGAAGATCCAAGATTGAAGAAAAAATGAAAAAGAATTGAAGAATAAGAAGAGGGCTCGTGAACAAAAGGGGAAAAAAATCAAAGAACACAAAGAAAGAAGATGAATAAAGAGGAAGATCGAAGAAATACGGAAAAGGATGGAAGATGAAGAGGGGCACCGTACGAGGGAG